ACATTTTCATGCATTTAGAATTTCCCAATAAAACAAATAGCATGCCAAGTATAAAGCACATACAGCATTCTTTAGTGATTCTTGGTTAAGTGGCCAATTCACCAAAACTAGCATCACACTAACAGGGGAACTCTGTTGGACTGATTAACCGTGAGCTTTTGATCTTTCAGGGTCTCAAGTAAGCTCCCCCAACCAGGGTCCCCAAGTCATTACCTTCCTTGATAAACATATATGGGAAACTAACAGAGAGGGCTGGGCAGGGGCAAAGAACATGGGTGGCCCATTGATCCATGGAGCTACAGTAGTTACACATTTGCAATGCTTCACTGTTACGGAAAATAATTTATTAGCCACTATTTCATTGGCCAGCAGAAATCTGACTAATTTCTCTCCACGAAAACGACAGTAAAATGACTCCACTATTACACAAGCTTGCATATATATGTACATATGTAATAGGTTAATTAACTATATTTGTAGAGGTGCTATGTGGCTGTTCCCTGCTCTACTTGAAAACTAATGTACAGAAAGGAAGGAACAGCTAATTATAGTTACATTATGTTCACTAAAATTTCAACATTATTTTTTATAACAGAAAAAAGGAAAATGTTTTAACCTAATATAAATTCATAAACTATTTTGTCTCTTCAGTATATGCTCTGATGGATAATATTCTTGGGCATATAATAGCTTGACTCAGAGTGGAATATATATGCAATCTTTACATGCCCATGATGTGTCTCCACATTATCTATGACTTATGCAACTTGCTCTTTCAGATTTCTACTTCATCTCAACACAGTATGTCCTTTGTTCTGCATATATTGTATGCATTTAATAAAGATTTAAAGTAAAAAAAAAAAAGAAAATGTTAATAATGCAGAAAGATCAAATACACAAAGCAATATTTAGGGGTCTATTTACAAAGCTGCCGAAGGATCTAGCCGTAGCTTCGGATGATCCTTCGGCTAGCTTCGGCCCCAGGACCCCTTCGGTTCAGTAGAACTGAAGGGCTGCTGTACGGGCTATTCACTATAGCCCATACAGCTCCCGAAGTTGGCCGAGCGGCTCAGTCGAGCCGAAGGCATATGCCTCGGCTCGATTGAGCCGAGGTGAAAGCCGAAGCTGGCCGAACGGCTCTCTCCCCCCTGCATTACTATGAGAGCTTAGCAGAGCCGAAGGTGATATGAAAGCCGACTCTGCTGAGCTCTCGTAACCAGGGGTCGCTGATCTGTCAGTACCATGAGAACTCAGCAGAGTCGGCTTTCATATCACCTCCGGCTCTGCTAATCGTTTTATCTTTTTTTCTACTTTTTGAAACTGTTTTTCTATTCTGCTTGGGACCACAGAGCATTTGGCTATTCACTTACTGATGTTCGGCCCCTATGATAATAGGCAGAGAAGCAGCGAGTAGCCTGCCGGTGGTTTGGCTCAGCCGATCCAGATGTTGGATCAGCTGAGTCAAACTCCTTCTGCACTTCGGGTCGGCCGAACATGCCAAGCATGTTCGGCCAACCTGAACCCAGCCGCAGCAAGCCGATGTACGGCTGAAATCAGCCGTACAAGCCTGAAGTGAATAGCCGAACAGCGTTCGGCTCACTTTGGCGTCGGTTATTCACACGGCTGCCCCCTGCAGCTTTGTGAATAACCCCCTTAAATATAGTCTTACAGGCAAAGTTTACTTTTTGGAAAAAGATAAAATAAATGCACACTTCTTCATGAAAGAAAACATGTTTATTATTTTTCAGTATAGAGTCAGTAAAGCACTGCAACCATTATCAGTAGATGGTGGGAGCAATGCTCTGTATTCTGCAGATTCTCCCTCCCATCCATATTCGTACTGAGCTATAGACATTCAGTAATATGGATGGGAGAAAGAATGAACGGACTATATGTGCAGTGACATCAACACACTTGTATTTACATTGAGAACTACAAGTCCTGTCCAAAGGATCTGTAAATGGATGATTCAGATGTGTAGATGCACCAATTTTAAAAAAGAGCAGTGTGTGTGTGTGGGGGGGGGGGGGGCTTGCAATGTGACCATGTTTCATGAAACATGGTCAAAAGGTGCTCTTAGCCTGTATAGCATTTTCTCTGTCCACCAGTAACTAATGGTAAACAAACAAGCCTATGGAACTTTGTTTAACCATACAATTAATACAGTGTTATTTGTAATTGAATAAAGTGTCAAAATATAATAATAATAATACCCTAGGATGTCCTTGTTTTTTTTTTACAATAAATACACAATGTGTCCAGCCAAAACATTGTATTAGCTTTGCATAGAATGGGGTTAGGATTAGCACCCCTGCATGATTTTTACTGCTATATGGAATTCTGTTAGAGAAATCCCCCCCTCACTTCCTGTCACAGTGACAAAGGTATATCCAGACAGGAAGTAAGGGGAAAATCTCAAACTGGAGCACAAACAAAAATATATTTCTATTATTTATTAGTGATTTAGTAAAAAAGGAAGTCTAAACCCAAGCCACCTTTTTTTTATTGATGTCTGGTTTCCAGTAGCAAATTTTCCCTCACTTGCTGTCACTGTGACATTGATTTATCCAGACAGGAAGTAAGGGGAAATTTCCAACTGGAGCACAAACAAAAATATATTTTTTTTGGTAGAACAGGATAGCCTAAACCCAAGCCATCTTTTTTCATTGATGTCTGGTATCCTGTAGCAGATTTTCCCGCACTTCATGCTTGGCGAAACTGTTGTCACCATGAAAAATTAAATAGAGGAGGGTGAGAGGAGCAAAACTCTGAAAAAGAACCACTTACCAAATCCCCTTACAGGATTATCTCCACTTCGCGCAAGTTACAGCCCACATAAAAAGGTTGTATGGTGCCCGACCCCACTTCTTCACCAGCTCTCTTATAGACAGGATTCTCTCAACAGGGAAAAAATCTATATCGGACATCTACTCTTACCTGAGACAGGCTCATATTCTCTCTCTGACAGACTCTAATATAGTTAAATGGCAGGACGATATCCCTACAGAACACATAGTTGAGAAAGTGCTACACGGTTATCGCACTACATGTAAAGCTATGGTCAATGAACAGTGGAGAGAGACGCAATACAAAATCATGCATAGAGCATACTATGCATTTCAAATCACACGTAAACAAGGCATGGACAGGGATTATCTGGACCACTGCCCTAAATGCCAGCTGAAAGCAGCTTCACTATTTCACTGTCTATGGAAATGCCCAGTGATACAGACTTTTTGGACTATGGTCAAGGACTTTATTGCCTTAATAGTGGGACGACAGATACCGTCCGAAGTCCTTCTAATCTTATTCAACTACTGGGATGAACCTGCTGATTTCAGCAGACATCATAGACACTGGATTAGTATCACCTTGCTGGCAGCCAGGAGGGGCATTTTGAGAGAGTGGTTGGCTCCTAACCCCCCTACCATTCAGAGGTTACGTACAGACCTTCTCAACTTACTCCATTTGGAAAAACTAGATGCTGAATTGTTACTGTCAGACGATAAGAAAATATCCTCCTTCTATGACAGATGGTTACCATTTATCAACATAGTCTTTACAAGTGCAGAGAAAGAGAAATTTCTATCTCCATTCAGATATACATCTAGTGCGATATTCGAAAACTAGAGGGGAGTGAACTAACCAACTAGTACATGTCCTGATGCCACCAACTCAGATGCTATGCATAGCTCATACATGAAAATATTCAGAAGAGATTCCCAGGTCAAAGAGGGCTTGAGGAATGTATCACAGGCTCTAAAAGCTACAGAGATAGCGTGTAAGACAACTTATCAACTTATGGTTGCTTATAGGTTATGCTCACACATAAGGGAAGGACAAGGGGAACTCAGATAGAGGTTATGGGGCAGACAAAGTCTTATAAACGTATAAATTCTAAACTGAGGGATATCTGACGTAGCTCTTTGCAAAAGCTTAATGTGATAAGTAATTCCAAACTTGTATATGATTATATTTGATGTATTGTGCTGAACCATATGTACAAACCATTGTTAATATCTTTAATTGAAAATAAAAAAAACTGTTTTGAAAAAAAAAACTCTGAAAAAAAGTATTGGCTAGACATGTACTTTAAATTATTTTGTTTCTTTTAAAAGTGCTGAATAAAGTAGAGGAGGAGTCAAGTGAAAAAGAGAAGTTTTGTTATTTCACTTTGATCTTTTTTTTAGAGTTCAAACAGTGCAGTGTGAATTTTATAAACAAAGTTGTATGCATTGATAATAGCAATATCATGGTCACTTAGTAGGTTTATATTGGGGATAAGTATAAAAATATGGAACATGCTTGAATAAGCCTATTGTTATACCAGGGCTCAAAATTTCAAGTCCTGAGCTTTCCACTCGCCCCCACGCAATTTTCACTCGCCAATTGCGAGGGGGCGAGTTGAAATTTTGAGCCCTGGTTATACCATAGGTTAAATGGTAATACTTTGGATGTAGTTGAGTTTAAACAATTAATAGTTTGTCACATAGATTCTATATCTGCAGCTTCCAGGCAAAACACAGCACCGTTAATATCACACTATCATAAAAATATATCATATAAACATAACAGTGGAATAATTATGCAAGTAGAATTTTGTACACTCCAGTAGCCCTTAGGCAGCTTAAGTCAATGAAATGATTTAGGAAATGAGCCCCTGATGGGTTGAGTCTGACATAAGTGTCTAAAAGTTAATAGTATCATTCATGAGGGGAACAAGTGACCTCTCCAGCAAGCTGGTAATACCTCCTGAATTGATAGACTTAATAGAGCTGAATTTCAGAGGCCAACTGCATAACGACACTGCATGTTATATAGACAGCTGTGTCTCAGTCAGAGGCTAATAAAGCTGCACTAAGCTAATCATGAAAATCCTTTCTTTGCCTCAGGTGAATAAACCAGGTCATGGGTTGGTGTTTGCAACACACAGTTCAGCTGTAAATAGCACAAATAAGACATAGTTTCACTGTACAGCAGGAAAAAAGAATGCATCCTACCTGGTTGAGCCTCTTCTGAAACCTTTTCTTTCCCAGCTTTTGGCAGAGGTTACGGTCATTTTCCCTGTCTGAGCCATAGTGGTGATTATACTTGTTGTTCTTTTGCAGTTTATAAGACAGTCCGTTGCTTAAAATCTCCCTCTTCTTTTTATTGAGAGGAGTCTGCTGCTTGGCTTCTCGCTCATCCGGCATCAAGGCACCTTCTTTCTACAAAAAGACCATTAAAAAGGTGTTATGAGATTTTGGTAGTGTTGTTTTTCAACAAAGTTCTGCTTTGCATTCAATCAGTGATCTCATGGTATGGACAATACAGAACGCAATTTTCAAGGAAACGCACAAAAGCTTATACATTGAGAGCAATTGCTAGTTACAAAAATACAGAGAAATGTTGTGGCTTGTTAAAATCATAAAAGTGAGAACTAAAAAGTTGATTTAAAAAGAATATGAAGGCATTAATTGCTGTATAACATTTAAAAATGCAATATGTCCAAATCTAATGTATGGTTTACTATATATACACTACATCATTTAGAGAACTGGACTTTGCAGGGAAATATTTGCTTAGCTTAGTGAATGTGGTGACATTTTATTTTGCAAAGAATACCAAATCACGTGCAAGGTAACAATCAAGTACATTGCTTGCACATGATTGAAGGTTGGAGGTCAGTAGAGGTTCACCTCATTCACTAAACTAAGGAGAGACTTCCCCTGCAAAGTGCAAATTTTCCTTGCACAGTGAAGGCCATATTTGCTTTTAGTAAATTATTAGCCATGGTTTCATTGAATATTAACAGCTGTCTAAAGAATGGGGGCCTGCATATTATCTTGTGATTTTATGCAGTCATGTTATCTTTAGAATCGGTTCAAACTGGTGCTTTGCTTTAATGCCTTGTAAAATTCATGTTTTACTGTGTGTTATCACAACTTGACAGCAATACGTGTACTACAGTGTGGTGCATTAAGGTGCCATTAATTTGGAATAGCACCCCAACATAAAACACAGCAGCACATGTGTCTTGAATTACACCACAATACAGAGATTTCGACAAGTGGCATGAATCATTGTAGGTGCGTTGTGGCCCAATCAAAAAATGGGATAAAGCAACATATCCTTGGAACCAGTCTTTATAGTAAACCTGTAAATTCTGTTGAAATTGGCAACAGGCTTAGCATGCAAGCAATACTCTCAAATCTTTCCACCAACTCCAGGAGCAATGAATGTCAAGTGGTGAAGGTTGCTGCCCTTGCTGTGTCCTGTTATCTCCTACTGGCTATTAGGCTGTTCATAATAGTGATGAGCCAATAGAAGTTTGGGGGCAGGCCAGTTTTTGACACTGCACAGCCTTTCTCAACCATGGTGCCATAAAAAGGGACTCCCATGTGAAGGGCAAAACCCTATTTCTTTTGTGTTTCTGCATGGGACTCCCCCTTAAAATCCATTCCAGAACCGTATCTGTAATAACATTTAGATTTTGGAGGGGCCACATGTTGTTTGTTAACTTTTTACACTTACGTTTATTACATTGTAAACTGGGGTGCCTTGAGATTTTGCAGAGCTGGAAATTACTTAGGGAATATTTCACCAGTGGAATCCCAAAAGTATACAAAAAGTCTACATATTACTATCAAACTTGTGAGCAGTCATGAAAAACTGTAATACCAATTTCGAGGAGTGTTGGCTCGTAGCTCTGGTCCTCCATACCCCTAATTAGTTTGGTTGCCCTCCGCTGGACTTTTTCCAACTCAAGGACATATTTTCTTAGTATTGGTGACCAGAACTGGACTGCGTACTCCAGATGAGGTCGAACCAATGATCTATAAAGTGGCAAAATTATAGACTTGTCCCTGCAATATTTTAAATTAGATTAAGTTAAATAAATTATACTGAATTATACTACCAACCTGGGTTAAATTATGGTTCACAAGTGGTACGGTCAATAACTTGTTTGTTAAACTAAATTTAATTTATACCACCGCCCTGGAAGAAGTTACAACCGCCCTGGTTAAAACTTCAATTGTTTAAACGCCAATTTTTTAACGCCCCTTATCTCCCAGGCACTTAGTTCCCCAAGCCCTGTGTGAGCAAGCTCAAAATGAGTGATGCACTAGTTTATAATACACCTGCTCAATGAGAGACACCTGAGCTCAATTAACCCCTCCCCCTAACAAGAGCACTTCAACCTGAGGAAAAAAAAAAAAGGGAACAGTTTAAAAAACTGACAGAAAAGGAAAGAGTTTTTAAATACTAAAAAAGGGTCTAAAAAGGAAGGAAGGAAGGAAGGGAGACAAAAAGTATTCAAAAAATCAAGCACTCAATATATCCCAAACAGTTCAAATCCAATTTTTTAACGCCACTTAGCCCTGTGTGAGCAAATTAACATTTGTAAAGCTACAGAAAAGTCAAATTTAGGAAATAATGCTACTGCAGATTTATTTTTACTTTCATCCATACTAACCATAGGGGTTTGATAGCAGTGTTTAATAATAAATTATTATTTAATACCACTTAATAGATTAGAATATTATCTTTCTCTTCTAATCTGTGAATTGGTTCTGAACAGTAAAGTGTCTCCTGCACACTAGCTTGCTTAATGTGTTATTCTCTTGAAGTGAAGCCTCTATCTGTCTCGTTGCCTACAGTTAATGGTTACATTTATTTAACAGCATGTACTCATTCCAAAAGTAAAATCAATAAGGACACGATAAGAGAACAATAGGAGTATTGCAGACAAGATTTATCACAAAATTACAGTGAATTAAATCCACACTAATACTATCTGAAACGCTGTCGATATCTTTTGCGTTTCCTTTGTACATCTACAGTCTTCAGGAAAATAGCACACTGCAGAACAGATAAACATTCAAAAGGCAATGGAGCTGTCAGGAGGAAAGAAAAGTGCCAGGGTTACCCATAAAACCAATCACATCCAGAAGTAATTTCTATCTTAAAGGGTAGAGATTAAAATTCTACATTGCTATGGGCAAAATACATATGTTTCACTAACATTTTTTAAGTTGGCACTCAGATTCATAAACAGGTTTAAGTCTTTTATTGCATGACCATTTTGTCATATTTTTTCACACACATACTAAAAATGAGCATTAGTGAGTTTAAAATATATTACCAACAGCCAGTGGTGGAACCCAGCGGCCAGCGGGCCCCCCATCTCTGCGCCGAGAGTGTCGGATCATCCGGCCGCCGGATACTGATGGTTGCCATGGTGATAGAATGCTGAGCCCGATCGGGAGCCGCGCTGTGTAATCTATCACCACGGCAACCCTCCGCCAATCACAGCTTGCTACTGCCCGGTCCCCGCTCACTCCGCTGGGCTCGTCGGCTATGAGCGTGCGGCAGTCGGCTGTTTCTATAGCCTGTGGCACTCTGCATTGCTGTAAATATTAGGGATGCACTGATATATCGGCCGCCAAAAGATATTGGCCCGAAATGGCACTATTGGCTAAATGCCAAAAATGAAATTTTTCTGCTGATACAGCAGCGCATCTGTGCTTTCTTTCCTCCCCGCTGTGCGCTGCTCTGTGTCCCAGCGGGGAGGAGAGAAAGTGACAGCCGGCCGAGCGCTGCGGGAGGAGATCGCTGTGTTTTTTTTTGGGGGGGGGGGGCAAAAAAAAATCTTGCACCAGTGCCCTTTGTTCCTTAGGTCCACCACTGCCAACAGCTATATATTTACTGAAAGCTGACGACCTAAAAAATAGAAAAAATGTATCCCAGATGGTGTACGTTGCATTATGTGTGCTCAAATGTTTATGAATTCAATTTTTTTGTAAAAATACTCAATGCTTGAGTGAACAGAAATAATATAATTTATAATGTGAAACACTTGGGCAAACTGATGTCTTCCTATGCTCCACTAACCACCCTGATCCTTAATCCTATGTTTTCCCCAGGCTTTGGAGTACCTGGTGGGTTCTGGTAGGTATCACTGGGACTCTAAAAATCTACAACCTAGTGACACTTGAAGGAACTATAAGTTTTGGCTCTCTACAAAGCTCTCACTATGCCCCAGCATCAAGACTTTCAGGTACATACAAATTAAAAACGTTGTCACCCAAACCTACAAACAATCTTCCTCCCTACAAACATTGACACCATTTAAACATATATGCTTATATAACCCTTCTTCCAGAGGTTTAATTTGAACTATTTATAATTCACTTCTGCAGGATCAATCCTCCTTCCATATGTTGAATGCCGGGGCCCTATACCGACTAAAATCAGCCGTACATCGGCTTGCTGCGGCTGGCTTTGGGTCGCCAAACATGCTCAGCATGTTCGGCTGACCCGAAGTGCAGAAGGAGTTTGACTCCGTCGATCCAACATCTGGATCGGCTGAGCCTAACCTCCGGCAGGCTACTTGCTGCTGTTCAGCCTATTCTCATAGATGCCAAACAGCAGTGAGTGAATAGCCGAATGCTGCCTTTTATTCTGACGGCAGCCAACGGCTCCGATGTCAGAAGAAAAAAAAAAGACAACAGAGCAGAGAAAGGTTTACTCTGCTCAATCGGGAGAAAGTGTTTCTCTCCCGGGCGGATGTGAGCCACTATCTAATAGCGGGAGACTCCTGAAGCGTCCAGCAGAGTTGGGCTGCCTGGAGATCAGCGTCCCTGGTTACCTGGTGACCAGGGACGCTGATATGTGTGTGCAAATGGCCAGAGCCAGCCATGAGATGACGGCTGGCTCCGCCCATCAGTCAGTAGCAGGCTGTCGGCATATGCCTTCAGCTCGATTGAGCCCCTCGGCCAACTTCGGGAGCTGTACGGGCTATAGTGAATAGCCCGTACAGCAGCCCTTCGGTTCTACTGAACCAAAGGGGTCCTTGGGTCGAAGCTAGCCGAAGGATCAGCCGTAGCTACGGCTAGATCTTTCGGCAGCTTTGTGAATAAACCCCTATGACTCCCAAAATGAAGGGAAAAAAACCCCTCTATCAGTTCATTATTATAGTGTAAACCCTAACCAATGGCTCTAAAATTAATATTCTACTGCTGGCATGTATGGACACACCTATTATGCAATGTGTACTAAGCATTTATGTACCTTCCTTTATCCTAGCTCAAGTAATGTGTATGTGTGTATTGATCTTATTAACCATCTTAGGACGTCTACCCTCTATGTGATAGTACAGAGTAAGTGACAGGTACTCTTTATGGAGACATCAGGGGTCTAGTAATTAATCATGCAGGGCAATTCCCT